TTTGGAGATGCTCTTAGGCCTTCCACAATATGGTCGATGCTCAGCACATGAAAATATTGTTGACTGGGCAGCAATGCCTTAAGAAATTTGTTTGGCACCGGTCTCAAATTGTGTGTACTCCTATGGCCTGAAATGAGTAGGCCCCATGTGAATAAAAAACTCAAACAAGCCATCAACTGCGTATCTTCGCAGTCTACTTTACTTCCTTGTGTGGGCCATCGAGCCAATTGTTTGCAACTTTGTAAGTTTTGGCATCGGAGCAAGTATGTGCTTCGATGCCCAGAAATTTTCTTATGGCACTGGCTGGGCAATGTAGGGCATTGGTGCCAAATGAAGCAGAAGTGATTTTGGCACCTCTCTGGTCTACATAGGGTGTGTTTGGTAGGGTGCATGGAGGGTGCATGAGGGCAAAAGTTCCCAATCCGACCCACTTTTGCTTATTTGGTAGGGTGCATGAGCTCACATGGGCTATGCTCATCTGATGCATAAAAGGGCCCTCACCTATGCTCATCTCATGCACCCCAGACAGGGTGCATGGAGGCAGCCATGCTGGCCCTGACACTCGTCCCCACCCATCAGACCACGTCCAGATATGTTTATATTTTCAAAAATGTTTAGAATTTAAAATTTTGTTTAAATTTTTTAAAAAGTTTAGAATTTCAAATTGTCTTAAATTTTTGAAAAAGTTTAGGATTTCAAAATTGTTTAAATTTTCAAAAAATGTTCATAATTTCAAATTTTATTTGAATTTTCAATAAATGTTCAGAATTCCAATTTTTTTTTAAAAATCAACAATGTTCAGAATTTCAAAATAAAATAAAAAATTGTTTGAATTTTGGAAAAAATATCAGTAATTCAAATTTTATTTAATTTTTTTATAAAATATTTAAAATTTCAAAATTTGTTTAAATTTTCAAAAAAGCTCGGAATTTCAAATATGTTCAAATTTTCAAAAAGTTTAGAATTTCAAAATTTATTTTAATTTTCCAAAAAAATGTTTAGAATTAAAAAAATCAAAATATGTTTAAATTTGTGTTCATATTTTTCGAGTTTTGTTCATCATTCGAAAACAATTGTTTGAAATTCGAAATTGTTCAGCATGTCTAAACACATGCGGGCTGCCAAACAAAGTCTCAGCTCAGCATGTCTCAGCGCATACATCGCTGCCAAACAACAGCAACTGCATGGACTCAGCATGTCTACACTTAGCATGTATGAGAGGAGAACAACTAGGCTAGGTTCAAGCATGCTACCAAACACACCCATAGTGGGGCCTTAGGGTGCAATACCAATTTATAATAGCCAAAAAAAATAGTGTCTCTCTCGTACCATTCCAATTCCAACCCCTGGGCGCCCGTACTCCCCTCTCCTCCCCTTGGATTCCACTCCTCGGAGCAGAACAGAAGCAGAAGCAGGACCTGCGCGCGTCCCTCGTCCCCACCACCACCCACAGCGAGGGCCTCTCCGGCCGGGCTCCCCCGCTCCCTCCGCTAGGCACCGCCGGCCCTTTCCTCCGTGCGCCGCCCGCCGCCGTGGCCCGGGCTTCTCGCGCGCGCGACGTTCGCGCAATGCCGGGCCAGACCATGCCCGGGATCAGAGTTCTTGGCTCGGAGCTCGCTTTGATTTTTTAAGATTAGATAGAGTAATAAGGAGAACAAGAAAAAGGTTCTTGGTCTCGGGGCCGGAGAGGTTTTGGGGGGCGGCGCAGAGATTGTGCTCGCTTGCGTTGCGCGTTGCTGTCCCCTGGTTTGGTGGAGAAAAATTGGCGAAAAGTTTGAAATTTGGAGCCGGGATATCGGGCTGGGCGATAATGGCTGCCATGGCGGGGGCGCCCAGGGTCAGGTCCCTCAACATCGCGGCGCCGGAGGCTGACGCGAGGCCAGTGCTGGTGCCGGGGGGCAACAAGGCCCCGGCGTCTGCGCGGAAGCCTTCCCCCAAGCCGCTGCGGAAGGCGCCGGAGGCCACGCCGGAGAAGCCTCCGCCCCCCGCTGCCGCGGCCAAGGGGGATGGGGATGGCCCGAAGAAGGAGGAGGCGGCCGCCACCGCTGGCGGCGACGGCTGCGCGAGGAAGGGGGGCTCATCTCCCTTGCCCTCGCCGAGGCGGACCCCGCCGAGGAAGCCGCAGGATGCGCCGGCGGTGAACCTCAACGCGTCCTGCTCCTCGGAGGCCTCCGTGGAGTCGCTCCGCGGCCCGGCCTCCGGCGGGAGGACGGAGAGGAGCTGGTCCCGGCCGGCCGCGTCCAAGCGTGGGAAGGCTGCTTGTAATGTGGTGGAGAAGCATGCCGATGTGCTGGAGGTTGTCGCTCCGGTGACGCCGGAGGCCGTCCAAGGGAAGAGCCGGTGCGCCTGGGTGACTCGGACCACCGGTGAGTTCTTGCTTCCTGAATCCCGATAGTTTGTTTTTTAATCATTTATGCAGTACACTTGCAATTTGTGCTTGTTCAGAATTGTTGGCTATAAACATTAGAATTTTCAGTGTCCAATCATGTGTTGCAATTTCTGTCATCTTTCATATTTTAGCATGATTAGTCGCTCACCTAGGATACTTATTCATAATTTTTTGTAAAGATATGCAAAACTCTGTTTTAGAAAGTTAATGCTGACGTCTGAACGAAAATCACAATTTGAGTATCTAAGTTACAGCTTGATATACTAGCCTTCCTTGTTGATTGCTTTTGACACTGGTCATAGGAACGCAGTCCATAGTTCTGCTTGCATTGGATAAACTGAGCATTTTCTCCTTCAGATTTCCCCTTTTTGTTCTTAGTTGCTTGAAGGGAGTTAGTGATCCTTAAGCACTGGCATCTGATCACTTTACCACCATCACTTCCAGTTTCACACAAAGCTGTATATGTACTTTGTTAAACATACTGTACTTTTGACTGACTGCACAGCCATTCCAAGTTTTCAACAGAGATAATGATGGTGTGTTGCTGACTTGCTGTTGCAAAGAACTTATTTCTACTGATCTGCAGAATCTGCACTCTGTTAATCATCCTTGTACAGAAATCTGCCATAATCGTTGTTCGCTCATCAGTTGGGACTGTAAAAATGGCCCGTGAAAAGGGTGCTTTACCAACAAGAAAAATTAAAACAAAAAGAATGGATATAAGTATGCTTTGCTTCAACTATACCCCAAGAAAACCGTAGCTTCAGTCACAATTCTTGATATTGTGCTGTCACATGATATGGTAGTATGGTTGCCCAGTGCTTTTCGTTTGCCTTATGGATGAAGTATTCTTAATCTCTGAATCATTTCTCATGAAGAAAGCTGACCTGTCAAACTTCTGATGCCCATTCATTATCTGATCAGATCCTCACTATGTCACTTTCCATGATGAGGAATGGGGGGTTCCAGTTCACGACGACAGGTACGCAAAATGTGAATTAGTGTATCCCTTCATCTTTATTATTTATATTGTGCAAACTTAGAATAAAATGATACAGTTCAGTATCTGTAATAATAACCATGAGTTCAACAGGAGATTGTTTGAGCTACTTGTATTATCTGGTGCATTAGCAGAACTATCATGGCCTGAAATTCTCAAGAAGAGACAAATTTTCAGGTATTGGTTCTCTAAGGTTACAAATAAATAAAGTAATTGTATGTATAGTTTGTTTCGTAATGTTCATGCCATATATTCTAGGGAAATTTTCATGAACTTCGATCTGATTGCTGTCTCCAATATAAACGAAAAGAAGCTGGTAGCGCCAGGAAGCATTGCCAGGTCCATTTTGTCAGAGCAAAAGCTGCGAGCAGTCCTCGAAAACGCTCGTCAGATAGTTAAGGTTCGGAATCGCTGCCGCATCACCATTAACTGATGCTCCTGTGATCAATGTCTTTTGTCTGGGAACTTGTTTGTTACATGGCTTATTTATACTGATGCAGAATTTTTTCAAACAAAATGCTGATGCAGATTGCAGATGAATTTGGATCCTTCAGTCAGTACTGCTGGGGTTTTCTGAACCACAAACCGGTAGTAAGCAAAATCCGATATCCAAGGCAAGTCCCTGTCAAGAGTCCCAAGGCAGACATGATGAGCAAGGACATGGTGCGAAGGGGACTCCGAGGCGTGGGCCCAACGGTCATATATTCCTTCATGCAGGCAGCAGGGCTAACCAATGATCACCTGGTCAGTTGCTTCCGTTTCAAAGAATGCAAGCCGTCTCCAAGCCTTGCCATGAGCGACGCCGACAGGGCGAAGACAGAGGCAGAACAAAAATTGGAGGAGCCGAGAACAAAAGCCCACGGGGAGGAGATGACCGTAAACTCGGACCCGTCGATGGCGATCGACACGCTCACCATTTCGTAGCGTTACAAGGAGCAGCGGCGTGGTGAGCCGGCTATTGTGGTCGTGTTACCTCTGTAAATTTTGTGCTAGGTTGCCCCTTCAAATGAGTCTAGGGATTGTGTATAGATCATTTGTGTCAGTAATGCGACTCGATCGGTCTGTAAGTATATATTACTACCGGGGCGAAGGACCATTATGTTTTGTGATGATGCAGAAGCTGTGAAAACCTTGTCATGTTGCATTGTGCATCATTACCTGTGTTCCCTGTGGCGCTTGCTTGAGGGCGCATTGAAGCAAGCAGATGGATGGACCTGAAATTGCCTGTGAGGCCCAGTGACCTAACATCAGAGGCAGTTATGCATATGCTGAACTGCAGGAAGGCTGCCTCTGTGTGAGGACAGCAACAACTATACTTGGTCGGTCTGTCTGGTTTCATGCCAAGGACATGTAAACTGTTTTAAACATGAGAAAACACAGGATGCATCTTCACCGCAGAGTTGCAGTTGCAGGATGAATATGCAGAGGTATAGCTTGATTATGTTATATCCAGTCGACGAATTGTATCTAACAAAGAAAATCGTAGAATAGGATAAAAAGGGGATAAGAAATATTGGATACTCGAGCCGTGCATATGTAAGGCAACGTGTGGCATGGACCATCATCTCCACCAAACCAGGCATCTCATCATGATCAAGAACACCAGACAAACGGAAATGCAGGTCCTTTCGTCAGCAACAACCAGAAATCGGTTGAAAGCTTTGGCCCATCAGTGGACAGCCTCCAGCCCTTTTCCAGGTCTGATTCGATCTTGTTTGCTCTAGTAACAGACCACGTGAGCTCCGGTGTGGAGAAGGTGTAAGAAACTGGTCTTTTGTTTCAAGTACCTTCTAATTTTGCAACGTTTCTTTTCTGTGGTGGAGGGTGTTGAAAGTTTGTAACAAAAATTTTGGGCTTGTTTGTCAATCTATTTAACGGGTAATAACATTCTATCTAGGGTGGAGGATGGTGAAAGTCTGTACCAAAACTTTTGTCAGAAACGAGCCGCAGTCTTGTGGACTGCCTTCTTTTTTGGCACATTTTTTATGTATTCAGGGGATTTCATAACCCAGAATATAATTTGGCATATCCGTCCATTTAGAAGTTTTCAAAATAATCGTATTCGTTTAACACTCTACAAGCATGATCTTATCATTCTTGACATGCAATTGCTCACTGCTAGCTACAACTACTAAACAAAATCCAACAAAGTTTCACACTGCAACTATGCAACATCAGAAGGATTTTAGCTCCACACAGTTACAAGCACCAGCATCCACACTCCATCAGGCCTCTCCGCTCAGCGCATTTCTGACCGGTAGATGTGTTCTACTATGGTCTCCTTTCATTTTGTGGCTTTGGTCGCGGCCTACCCGGTGATTGTTAGCTCTCAAGCCAACTGATATCTCTGTTATCTTTCTTTGCCACTTCTAGCAGCCCTATTGCTGAAAATTAACCTGCTTTGGGATTACATGCAAGAAATTAACTTAAATTTTACAACTACAAGTTATTACAGGATCTAATGAATAACTTATTTATTCTAATTGCAAACTATGACATGGGTCAAAATAACTGTAAAGTAAGTCCAAGGCACGGTTTCAAACAGCTCATATCCACTTCTAACTCTCAAGGCTCTGGTTTCCTAGCAATTCATGTTTCCCGCCTAAAACAAAAGATGAAGAAATTGGGGAGCTTTGGTTCTTATATTCTGGTTTCCTCCCATCTCTCAAATTTGAATTGATATTTTTCTCATGGAAACCTTTATACAACTACAGTTGAACATTCCATATACTCCATGGGCTTAACCGCTGGGCATGCAGAGAGCTATCCTACATATCTTATATAGAACTTACAAGAGCTTTAAACTGCAACAAAAGTGCCCTTCCATTTGTGCTGGACCATCACATTTTTCCAGCCTGTACCTTGTATCATACATTATTCATTTTACATATTTTCAATTGTTCAGACCAATGCGGTGATGTAGATGAGATCAACTATTAGGTGTCAACTACCGCTAGTTAGCTAGAAATCAGTCTTTTAGGTGAGAGATTTCTCTAGATGGTGTCATTCACTAGTACTAGTATAATCACAACATTTAGGTGAGAGATTGGAGAGAACCAACATGTTAGTGGGTAGGCTTTTCCCACTGCGACAGAATCAATGCAATGCACCGGTACGTCTTCTTCTGTGATGCAGTAGGCGCAAGGTAACATGAACCTACAGGCACATGGTGTTGGCGAGGCTCCCGTTATAACAGTCGGTTCACCCTCTTCCCTATGGAGTTTTCTGTTCACGAAGCTTGTTGCGAGCAGGTCTGCTTGTCAACGTCCTAGGTCGTAAAAGCAAGGTAGTTGCTCTTTAAAGTTGCCGCCCTGCAATAGGATTTTGACCTCTCGCTCGTTTCTTCATCCACAAACACAATCACCAGGGCACCCATCTGGATCAAGTAAAGGTGGGAGGATTATGAATTGTTTTTCATGAGACAACGCCAAGGGAGACTGCAATTGATGTAACTTGAACTATAAGCTTGGGGCTGACCAACCCCTCTCTTTTTCTCTGCAACAGTCAATACTAACACACATATAAGCGTGATGGCCACAAGCGCTACCGAGTGACTCAGTTGGTTCTCTGAGATGGTCCTGTCCTCGAAATAAATCTTCCGTGAAGTGTTGACCTCCTTGGCGAGGGTGTGAACCTCTTGTGATGTACTACCCAACAAGCCTGCACCACGATAAGCGAAGCTAATGCCGGACGGATCGCTGGTTTTCTCCGCTGTGAGGGCATGCGTGGGAGGGGCTTCCTCCAACCCCAACATTGTCCCAGAAAGTTATCTTCAATCTATTATATCACTAAACAAAAGACAAATGAGCCATTGTGCTCATCCACATAGTCGACTGTAAATTTTGGATATTAACGGATGAGATAAAAGACGCAGGCACGCAGCCTATAATATAAAGTAGAGACTGGTCAGAATTGTTTGTGCTGAAGTCATCTATGATTCCTGTAACTTAATCAATCACGAGGATTCCTTTTTTGCATTAGAAAGAAACAGTTTGAACTCCTGTTTTTCAGTGCTTCACGTGGATAACCTTCTCTACCTATTCCTAGAAAAACTCTTTCTACCTAGCTTGAAAGTAGATGTGTACGTACACCTAGACAAAGGAAAAGGCAAACAAATTACTAACAAAGGTACTTGTGTTTAATAATAAAGTATGCCTACAATAGGATGTTTCTCCTCGGAAGCAAACAATAGGATGCTAACTGTATTAAATCGAGAGGAGAATACGCGGATATCTAATTATCCACAATTTATATGTTGAAATATTAGGGTGGACCTAGGGTCCATCTAACAATTTCAGATAATCTCTAAAGGCCCATGTGGGTAATATGTCACTAGGTGTTGTGGGAAGTTTAGTCCCACATTGCTAATTGGAGACGAGTTGGACCACCTTATAATTAAGGGATTCTCTTCCACAGGTTATTAGAGCTTGAAAAGAGAAGTGGTCCCCCCGCGCTCCTCCTCCGCCGCTCGCCTCGCCACCGTATGCAAGTCGCGACACATCCGACCATTTATCAGTCTTTTTTGACCGAGAAAACTTCAGAAAATAAAAATTTGTCGAGAATTAAAACAACTCGGAAAGGTGCCTTTAATTGGTAATACAAGCCAATGGAAAAAGGAGCCATCTCAAGAATGTTGATAAATAACGAGTACTCAGACATACCCTCGTGGCCTACGTAGACACCCTATGTTGAACATGGTGTTTTATTGAACATTCTTGAAATGACCCGAATTTTTTTCCAGCAGGTTGGCATGACCATGGTAGGCATCAGGTTTGAACGACTTTCGATACCGTATTGTGACACGTCCGGTCATTTATCGGCCTCTTTTGACCGGAAAAACTCCAAAAAATACAAAACTTATCAAAAACCCAAACAACTTGGCATAGTTCCTAGAATTGGTCATATAAGGCTATAATTTTTTTTGAACCATTTGATGGATGTCGGAAAAATGTGCTATCGAACGGAGCCTTCTGACCTACCCAAACGCCCTATGTGGGACATGGTGCTTTTTGGACTACCTAGAAATGTTCCCAATTTTTTTCACCAGGTGGGAATGTCCATGGTAGGTTTGAATGACTCCCGACATAGTATGCATGTTGCGACACGTCCGACCATTTATCAACCTTTTTTCACCGAGAAATCTACAGAAAATAGAAAACTTGTCGAAAACCCAAACAACCTGGCATGGTGTTGTGAATTGGTCTGATAAGGCTATGAAAACATATTGGGCCATTTCAAGGATGTCAAGAAACAACGTGCTATCAGACATAGCCTTCTAGCCTACTTGAACACCCTCCATTCAACATGGTCTATTTTTGAACATTATTGAAATGACCCAAATTTTGGCAAGCAGGTGGGCATGCACATGGTAGGCATCCATGTCATTTTTGAATGATTTCCGACACCGTATGCAAGTTGCGACATGTCCGGCCAGTTATAGGCTTTTTCTGACGTACAAAACTCTAGAAAATGCAAAAAAAATTGAACACCAAAACGACTTTGCATGGTGCCTTAAATTAATCATACAAGCCAACAAAAAAATTAGGGTCCTTTGACAGATGTTGGTAAACAACGTGTTCTCAAATGGAGCCTTCCCGCCTACCGGAACACCCTACGTTCAACATGGTGTTATTTTTGGACATTCTGCAAAGATGCCAACTTTTGCTAGCAGGTGGGCATGCCCATGATAGACAACCATGCCAGGTTTGAATGAAAAAGTATTTAAAATTATAATTTACAAAGGTACTCCAAACTGATATTTAAGTTTTTCACATAAATAACAAATACAAAGGGATTAAATTAAAACCGGTTATTTTTTCTTAAAAAGAATTTCATAAATATTTGAAGGAAAAATAATTTCAAATCATAATTTAAAACAGTTACTTAAAACTATTATTTCGGTATTCCAAATAGTATAATAATTT